TGATAGGAACCCTAAGGCAAAGAACAAACCCTTCAGTTTGGGGCATCACCTGTATACTGGAATGAATGCCTTTCAACACTCTACTTCCAATTTCTTTTCTTGCCAAGGCAGGCTCTTTTAGAACCAGCTTCTTTACTGGCCAGCCATTTTCTCTCCCTCTGAGTGGCTAAAATGGCATTGACCTCTGGGCCCAGAGCCCCAGCTTTGTCTTCAGGCCCTGGCTCTTCCTGTCCCTGGGAAGGAAAACACGGAGGGAGGAAGAGATGGTTTTAGTTTCCTTTCCACCAGTCTCTCTGTGCTTTCAGAGGCAGTGTTGTGGGGGAGGGGCTCCTTGGGCTTCTCTGGGTCAAGTTCTATTTGTAGATACAAGGCAAGGATGGCCTGGATCCCTGGGTTCTCTTGCTGGCCTCAGTGTTCCACCGGAGTGTGACTGAACAGGGAACCTCAAGCGACAGGGACGGCTTTCATACTGAATCCTAGTGACACGTTCTTCACTCCCAGAGCTGGCCTCCAAGCACTAAAGTAACCTTCTAGCCACCTCGACCATTCAGCAAGCCAGGCCTTGCAATCATTTGAGTCTAGCCCATTAGCTAAAGCAGAAACCTTACCTTTGGGTAAGGACACTCTTTCAGCCTGCCTGGAAAAGTATGGACTGACCTGGGGTAGACACGAGGGCCCGCCTGCTTATTCCTGTGAGCAACATTTAATGCCGGAGGGAACAGGCTGGGCCTCAGCTATTCACAGACCCGAGGATGCAAACATCCTTTTTCTAGGTAGTGTTTCCCAAGTGCAGTTTCACAAACGGTGATTGGTCAACAGTTGAGATCCTAGACCTGTACTCTGACGGCTAGGGTTTGTGCGAACCAAGGAAAGCAATCTAAAACACCTATTATTGAAGCAAGGAGGGGAAATTTTCATAGGTTATCAGACAGCTGTAAATACTGTGAGTGAATATAAGGCATCTCAAAGAAGACCCCAGTACAGAGTAAACACTGAGCCTCTTTCTTCTTCCCAGGTGCGTTTTTATGGCGTTGACAGTATGGCCTCCACTCTTTTTCCATATATATATGTACTACCCCCTCCCATTGTCATTATTTTGTTGTGGTAGTGTTTATTTTTAGACAAGCTTTTCACAGCCTAGGCTGGCCTAGAAACTCACTACTAAATAGCCCAGGGTAACCCTGAACTCCTGGAGATCTGCCTTTTGAATTGGGTATGGGTGTGAGTCACCATGCTGGGCTGTGGTTGCTATGAGATAGTTCCCCTATTTTTCTTCTATTTAGAGATAATCATGGTGTGTGTGTGTGTGTGTGTGTGTGTGTGTGTGTGTGTGTGTGAAGAGCAATCCACCTTGGTTTTGAAGTCACGGTCTCTCTGTGAGACCCGGGATTTTCTGATTAGGTTTTAGGCTCTGCCTCTCTGGTGCTTTGGTTACAATAGCTTATTTGTAGGCTTATTTATAACAGGGTGCTGGGGATGGCAAGCTCTCTCCAGGCTCAGGCATAATGTTTTTGATGGGACTTCCCCATAACCTGAATAAAAAGGGGCAAAGAGCTACAGCCAACCATCTTCTCATGGTGGTAGGTGTGGTCAGGTTCCCTACCTTTTCTGAATTCTCAACTCTTGCACCCTCCACGAAGCAGGCAAGATTCTGAGAATCTCACTCCGATATTATAGTTAAGGAGATAAGCTGGAAAAGGCTAGGTCGCTTAGCTGAAACTAACTTAGCAGGTGGTAGTCCTTGTATAAGTTAGAACTCAGGCTTTGCCAGGTATAAAGGGAATGAATTCCCAAGCTGTTCGATAGACTTGTCCTTTTAAGAATCCAACAGACAAACTATGCATGCATGGGACAGAGGGCGAGCACACAGCACGGGCATATATCCCTGGAGCGAGGTGTCCGCACGTACATTTGTTAGCCACTGAAACCCGGGATTGTCTGCAGTGCGCGTCTGTGACAGGGTGGAGTGCAGTGCCTGGTAGCTCCGGTGCGGGTTGTCCTGTACTCCAAGTTAGGGTTAGCCTGGTACAAATGTAGGACACCTGACCATTCTCATACAGTTTCTCCCTCGCTCTTCGTTCTGTCGGGCTCCCTCCTTTCCCGCGGAGCTGTCACAAAGAAAAGCCCTTGGCGTCTTTACTTTCCACTGCCACAGAGTACCGACTTTACAAAGTTTTAGGGCGCGTTCCTCTGGGATCGCTGCCCACCAGTATAACTCCGGCCAGGAGGCTCTCAAATGGCCCCGGGAAGTCAGGGAGAGCAAGCGACCCTTATGTTCATGTTCAGACCCGGACGACGCGCAAATGCACACGGTGCTCGGCGCGGGTACATGGGGAACCTTGGGTGGGGGTGCCCAGGAGACTCGGGTCCGGTCCTCCCTCCTCCTAGCGTGGCCTGAAGCCACAGGAGTAGGCGCAGCGCCCCTACAGCCAGCTTTTCCGCCTCCATCTCCTCCTCCTCCACCTCCTCTTCCTTCCCCCAGCGGGCGTGCAGTCTCAACCGGTTCAGACTGGCCAGGGTGCCTCGGCAAAGGAGAGCGGCGAGTGGGACCACCCCGGGAGTGACTTCCCGGGGTGGGGGCGGGAAGGTGGAGCCGGCGGGGAGGGTTGCACTCAATGTGTCCCTGGGGCTGAGGGCGGCGGCGGTGGATCGCGCGCCGCGGGACCGGTCGCCCAGCGCACGGCCGGGATCAGCAACCGCGGCCCCAGCCGAGCCCGGGACTCAGGTAAAGGCCCTAGAAGTCGGGGAGGTCCCGGTCGGAGCAAATCGGTTACTCAGCAAATTGCAGCGAGAGAAGGCGGCGCTGTCACCCGCGGGTGCACAGCTGGCGGCCGGCTTCTGGTCCGGCTGTCTGCCCGGGACTGAGAGTGCCCTGAGAACGCCGCAGCGTGCTCTGCACCCCTCCCCCTTTAAAAG